TTCTATTGGTTACCCCATGAAAGCAACGACAAGATCCGCCTAAGTCCTTGCAAAAGATATGGGTCGATCGAAGAGACGAATCAGACCTAAGCAAAATGAGACGGGCAGTGTAAGAAACGATAAGATAAAACATTTAATAAGGGCCGAATCATTCATCGAACACATACTCTTCACCAAGTAATTATAAGAAAGAAACGATAAGATAAAACATCAAACGGCATGTAAAATGACCGAATGTTTTACTTTCATTCTAAAATTGAAGAAATGTAAAAAAATTATATGTTTACAAAAAAAAAGTTTATCTGTTTAAACTTTACAAAAAGTTTCTCCCAGAAAAAAAAACTCTTAAGTATCAGGGAGTTAACTAGAACAACTTTCACCCTCAGCGTCTGAGTCGTCCCCAATTGACCCATCGAAATTGGTGTAGAAAGTAGCAAATTCATTCAATCAGCATAAATGAATCGGTCAATTGACGTGATGCTTCCAATCCGAAGCTATTCACCTAAAATTTTATAATGCTTTGGGTGTGAAGGAAGCAACTCAAAGTATCTTCTTCGGTCTTAATTGTCGCCAAATTTTATAATGCTTTTAGCTCACAGATCTCTTGTTCGGCGATCGACAGAAGATCCGAGATAGTGGACAACTCTTCCTTGGTCGTTGTTATTTTCTTTTTGGCCACCATATCCTGCTTCTCTGCCTTCTTGGGCCCGACCCTCTCTGAAATAGCAACTCCCTTCATTTCAGCCCGATCACAAGTAATTGATTGAAGGTGGGAAGCCTCCCACACCTTCAGATGATAGTGATTGGCCTTCTTATACAGATCCGATCCCTCGAGCTTCCGAGAGACTTGGTGAACACACTCCACCAGATGACCTCCAGAAAGGTAGAAGGGTTTACTCAAAAGATGGTGATTTGTTGTACCAGTCCATCGATCGGTCAATGGCTGTGAACCAGCTTTTAGAAGATTTCCAAATCTTGGTCCCCTGACCTTTAGAGGGAACCTAGCTACCTAGGGAACCCTTCATCTTCTTTTGGTAAGTTAAGAGGGGGTGAAGGAGTCGATTCCGCGACCAACTCCTTCCCTTGTGGTGTTGAATTTCCTTTATAGATCCCACTTCTGAATTGATTTCAGGCTCGGTTTGTGTAACAGATAAGTCATTGAATGAAGCATCTTGGTGAGGTGTAGTTGGCTGAGCTTCTGCCTTCTCGGAAGATTTCATTTCATCAGCTCCCTCCTTAGGGCGGCTATGTCGGCCCCTCTTAGCCTCTCGCCGAACGGAAGGAGATGCATCAAGGAATTGTGTCAAAGTCAGCATCGGGTGCAATCTTTTTGGCAATGATGGTCTATTCACCAATTAAAATTTTCTGGATCACTACCGTGGCTGCAAAAATAGAAAAGAGAAAATCGTCACCCACTGAATCGATTGCTCCATCTAGATGTCCGTCGACCTCCCTCCAGTTGCTGCTACTTCCAACTCGGAGGCTTCTTCTGCATGAGCTTTCTTTCTAACTATCCTGGCAGCCACTTCTTTTTCTCTCTTGACTTTAATAGCGTCAGAGGCGACCCATGGTTTTGCTGTCATCTGGTCGAAAACTCTTGGAAACAAGCCTCAACTTACTGTCACCGACTCGGTGTACTAGGGTTGACCCTCTTAATCCGGGAGTAATTGATGCCTTTCTTTTTTTGGAAGATGTTGCCGGTCGGAAAACTTGTTACGCCATAGCTCTCAGATGACAAGGTGATGAAAATTTTTTATTTTCAATCCTTATCTTTTTTTGTCAAACCGGAGTATTGGAACCTGCCGGTTGTTCCAAGCTGGATGTACCTGTTCGACTCCACGCGAAAGAACATGTGGTTGAATAGATCGGTTGACCACATGATTCCCTTTCGCTGACATAAAATAATGTAGGCTATTATTGTAGCAATGAAATTCAGCTTGATTTGTGCAGGTTGACGTACCGATTGAAAATTGCCCCAAGTTCATGACAAAAGGGCAATCACAGCCTATATCGAAACTGATTTTGATAAACCAACAAGTTATTCCATACCTACCAATCACCCTTTCATCCGGGCAAGCGGCTCTTAGCTTGATGGTTGGGTTGAAGATTAAGGCTTCTGTGACGCAAGCAACCTTATATGGAGATAACATAGAGTGCTCGGCCGAAGCCACCAGACCAAAGGTTAGGGGAGTTTGCTTGGGAGCCATAAAAAAATAGAAGAGAACGAGTAGATAAAAGCTAAGCAAAAAGACAAGAAATGAGCGACAAGGTCTAGGAAGAAAAAGCATAAGGCACATCATTGGGCGCCTCAAATCCTATTTATAGAAATCCTACAAAAGTAGAAACGTCGCAGGAGGATTGGAGAGTAAACATCATGTCAACACCAAAATCATAATAGAAAAAAAATTTATTTTATTTATTAAAAAGATAAATTATATTTGGATCCTAGTTTGATAAAAGGTATTTTACAAATTGGTCTTTGGCCGTCTCGGCCATAACCAAACCTCTCATACCTAACCTTCTATACAGTATTTGATCACTTAGCTTGAACTGATTCACTCTATTAGCCTCAGAAGGGACCCTCTACACAAACGTATATTCCCGGTGTTTTGCAACCTCTCGGTGAAGATTAACTACCCTCCCCCGCATTTCCTCTAACATCACATGAAGATGCTCTTCCCGTCGGGCCAGAGTAGCCTCCACTTTTAACAGGCGGTGGGTGAAGGTTCTTGGGGACATCAAGCGTCCCTCGGATGTTCCCCGCGGGCCTCCAAAGAATCGGCTGGGTGATCAACCATGTTCTCCTAGCTGCCAACCAACATCTAGGAAACGAGGCCTACCAACAAGGTCGGATTTAGACTGCCACCGGCCACAGTCTCCCAACTCGAGATTCCTCATCTATAAAAAACAAAAATCAATGAACGAACAACAATAAATTCAAATAAAAGGAATGCACAAGAAATCATTAACACAAAATCTGAAGTAGCTCCACCCACATAAAAAAATGGGAATTCAGCAGACGACCCCTTTCTTACTGACTGGGAGGGGGAGGGGCTTGCTGACTGGGAGGGGGGAGGGTTACTTCCACCGAATCCTTGTACACCAGTTGGCAGGGAAACGTTCACGATCTCCGGTTAGACTTGAACATTAGCAAGTGTCTTTATGTGTGGATCGATTGCTAAGCCACACAACTCCTTCCAAGCACTAGGTTGCACTTTCTTCAGAATCCACCAAATTGAGTCGAACAACCCTATTTCCCCTCGGTGGGTTTCGTCTTCTTAGTTGACCTCTTTTTCTTCGGCTCACCCTCAGGCCGGAGTTGTCTTATACCAAGGGCAACTAGTATTTTTGCTCGATCCCTTTCTCTATAGTCGAATCACAAAAAACTGAACAAATGTATGGAAGGACAAACTCCATATGATATAATTGTACCCCACACCCTATATAAAAGGGTTGCGGGCAGGGAAATCTCAGAAGTCTTTCTTGCATTAAAATTTGAATATTAAGATTCAATTTAATGCGTTAAAAATTTCTTTGTCCTTATTGCAGCTGTTGCTATCAAGGAACAAGAAAATTGAAGAACTTAATATGTACATCCAAAAATGATCTGCACGAATCTCAAGACAATATGACTATCCAAATCAAAAGGGACAAATCAAAAAAACTATGCCCCTAATGAAAAACTAATTACTCGTAAATCCGACTGACTCTAGAACTAACAGTTGCTGAAGGGCTGGCAACCGACCAAAGAGCCACCCACGCCGACCAAAAAAAAAAGTCTCCCTAACGATCGAACAAAAGTCAAATACCCCTAGCAATCGCACAAGCTTGAACGTGAGGCTCTCACAACATTTTCCCCAAAAATCACCAAAGAACATGTGAGCCAACCGGCTACCTTAGGGCCGACCGACTACCACTCTCCAAGTCGTTCGGCGTCCCAGAACAAAGAACAAACCGTATCCAGATAAAATAGCCTACTGACATGAGCGCTGTTGTCCAGGAACATTAAGGAATACCAAAATCAGTTATAAATTCGAAAAGACACGACAAAAAACAATAATATCTTGTGACCTTCTTATTAAAGCGGAGGTAAACATGTAATCTCTACTGTATGACTCTCTATGTAAAAAGGGCTTCTGGCTCATTTTTCTTGACCCATACTCTATAAGGAGTTCTCCCTCCCTTTTTCACTTGTAACTCTTCAGTTACAATGTATAAAATGTGTCACAAAGTTCGCTAATACCCGAATTTGCCCTTATAGGGAAAATCTGTGCTATTTTATTTCTCTCCCCTCCCCTTTCTCTCCTCTTTGGTATCCACTGCTCTGATCTTTTGGCATGCCTCACAGGAAATATCTAGATTCAACAAAGGCGAGCCAAATGCTAATTCATTTTGACACAGTTAAACTTCTGTCACGGAGGCCAGTACTTAGAACATCGGCTCTCCTTTCTATACTGCTTGAAAAAGTAATCTATTTTCTTGTCTCATATGTTAGATCAATACAGCTCTACTAACAGGAGACCGAGGAAAGAAGTTCTATTAAAAGAAACTTTAATTACTACGTGGCAAAATTATGGAGGTTGATCCACCAGCGAAGAGCCACGAATGTTCCGAATTGACCACCTGCATTTTTTTTAACAAAATCATGGGCATGGGCTATAAAATGGGAAACTTGGGGGGAGACTGGGGAGATCAGATTATCCGGACTCTACTCTTGTAACGTTGGGCTAATAAAATTCCGTGCCTCTCTTTCTCTCTCTGCATTCTCCTTCTTATCAATCTACCAACTTCCTGTAAGATTTGCGTTCTGTCCACTGACAAAATTGAATCTAATTATTTGGATTAACCATATTTAATCATTTCAAACATTGGTGCATGATCCAGATGTGCATTTTAGTAACTAGCCATGCATGATGTTTTGTTCTGATTTGAGCCTATCGGAAATATCTGAGCTTCCCTAATGAGAGTAAAAAATCCACATGGGATTTTCTTTTGTGCAGGGAGTGGAGTTTGCATGATGAGCACTGCCTGGAAAGAGGAGCAGCACCCATCTTTCATCATCTTCATTTCATCATTCCTCCATACAAATTCATATAGGCTCAACTTTCTTCAGATAGCCCCGGTATATACCTTCTCTTTCTTTTGAGATTTGGTCCCAATATCTCGACTCAAAAAATAATAGATGAAATGTAGGATTTTATATTCAACAACGGAGGAACATCAGTTGCATTCCTATTCATTACAAATTGGGACTGTCATGATGCCCCTTCCGTCTTTAGCAGGTTGATCATATCTACCTTTGTTAGTTTATTTACGGTGTTTCATTAACATTATTCTAAAATGCAGGGTTGTGACACTGAAAAGACAGTTCAGGCATCTTTATGTTGTTGTTTCTGCCCCAACTAAGGAGCAGAATGACTCATTTAACGACTCATACTTCAAGTGGGTATTCAAACTTATATACAACATTAAGCGTATTTGCAGCAATGCATACTTGTTTTAAACGTTTTATATGTTTGTGAAAATGAGGCATGCCATGGAGCTTGGTAACCCAACATTTGTGCCAGTTTGTGATCCAGAGATGGGTTTTGAGAAGATTGTGAAGATTGCTCATGCTCGTGGAGGTATGTTTTTAACACCTGAATTTCAAAGCATAGAATCATTATTCCTTGACCTGCTAACAATTACATGTTAACAGTTTGTAAGCAACAAGATGTCATATCCATGATGAAGCTTGAAGTATGTCAAAGTTAGCTTATACATTTCACAGTTTAATCGTTGTAGTATTTTGTCTATGAATGATAACTGCCCTTTGTTTGCCAAGCGTATGCAATCAATTGAGCAGATGGATTGCTTCCTTAGAGTCATCACCACCATTCCGGGAATTGATAACCATGATGCAAATGCGGTAATCAATCATATCTTGCTACCATTATACATACCTTTTGCAGTTGCAATTTTCTTGTCTGCATCCTTTCCTTTAATGTGTAGTCATGGACATTGCAGTCTAAATGCTAACTAAAGTTTCCAGCTTATTTTGTTAAGTATTGGACTGCGGAGAAGTAGAAGTTGTAATTAATTCGTATTCTTTGTAATAATTTTGTGAACCTCCTACCGTTCCAAGTCTCACAATTTACAATTATGATTCTTATGTAAATTCGGTTTTGTTTATATGATTTGATCAAATACCATCATTCTATGTACAAGTAGCCCAAATATCAACAATTTTGGGGAAGTTTGACTTTATATTGTCGACCGTTAAATTTGGGAAAAAGCTATTTGATTTAATATAATATATATAGTTTTGAAATGTAATTGTTTAATTTTGAAAATACGAGACCGAACCGATTTCATGTAGACGATAGTTTAAATAAACGAGCACAACACTGTAAGTGATACATCTATCCCGAGGAATAGACATATTACTTACTAGTGAGGCTCAATCATATAAACTAAAGAATTTATGATATCCGTTTTAGTCTTCGAACCTTTATGTTGACCGACAAGTTCCCCTACCTAATATTGAGAATTAAATATAATTTATATTACCTCGGTTCTTAAAGCTTCCTATAGAGGCAAACCCCTATAGTTAATTACCTCTCAAATGACTTAGTTAATTACCTCTCAAATGATCTCAAATGACTAAAGTCACTTAGGAGAACTCTCGATGATGATCAGAGGAATCAATCTTCATGAATACAAAATTTAGGGTTTCCAAGGTTGGACATACAAAAGTCAAGTGAGAAAAGGACCAAATAGGAATAATTATTTCTAGAGTCAAAGGAAAGAAAAGTAGGGGATGTCACAGATTCGGAGGAGAAAACCTCAGTGACATCCCGAATTATCCTATTGTTTGGCTTCAATTTTGAGAAGATGCCATTCGATGTTTCATCCTGTCAATTTTATTACTTAGGTCTTATATTTGCGTGACACGGTCATACAAATAGCTTGGAAGATATGAGGGTTTACGTCGTATCGGACAACGACCTCGGAACCTAAAACATGTTAGTGCTTAAATTGCACAACCTGACTGTGCAAATGCCTAAAAGATAAAGTGAAAATTTATGTCGCGCTAGGCAGACTATCTTGAAGTCCTATGACTTGTTGTTTAATTTTAAAGAAGGGTATGTTGTTGTATATCGTCATCCTCCATCTGCTGTTTCTCCGTCGCGCTGCCCACGAAGACTTACTCCAAGCTTCAAACTGTAGCGACTCCAAATTTAGTTTATGTTTTGTATTTGCAAGTATAATTATTGTTGGGTCTCAAAGTCCCGGTGTACCTCCTAACATATGTCTTACTGTTACACTACCCAAGGATTTTAGCAGGTACATTAAAGTAAATAATGCAATAAAAAGAACAACCAATTGCAGGAAACTTAAACAAATTGCTATAAAATCCGGCATAATAAAATTATAATAATAAAAAAAACACGAACGAGTAAAACAAAACACGATGTCACATATAAAGGACCAGAAGTATGTGACTTATACGTGACATTGGGAATGCCCCCAATTGCCAGGAAAATTTGAGTGTAAGGCTCAAGCTCAAATTCCGGAGCATTGGGCTTCATTGTAGGTTAAGTCATTGCGGGAATTTCATTACTAGATTTAATTAAGAGGAAGTTATGAACCACATCTTCGTGTATCCTTATGTCTATCATTTTAACCAGCTTATGAATTGAGGTAAAATGCCTAGTTTCGTCATTCATTTGAAAATTAAGTAGAGGAACTCTCACCTAGGGTGTCTCCTAAAGTCTAGGAAGTTTATGCCTCTAACTTGAGCTTGCAGTGATTTAGGGTGTTTTGTAGGGCGTTTTGCTTTCAATGCAATGTTTTCCAACTAATCATCAAATATTTTTTAAGTGTTTTCCAAATAATTAAATCAGAAATTCTCATTTTTGACTTAACCATTATAATAAAAACAAATCGATGGAGAAGGAGGTCGACCCTCTTCAAAAAAGAAATCAACAAAGCAGAGGAGCAAAATTGCAAGTAAATCAACCTAAAAGAATTTAAATTCTTTCAAAACAATGATCAAATCAACCCCCAAAAGGTGTTTAAAAGCCTCAAAAAATCAACACTTACAGTGCCCAAATCAATGTATAAAACCTCCAAAAATCAGCACTTAAAGTGCCTAAATCGATACATAAAAACCTCCAAAAATCTTCTCAAATTGACACAAATAGAGAACAGAAAACAACCATGAAATGTGGTCAAAACTGCAGTACAAATGAGACACAAATTAGTTTAACATTCCCAAAACAGCGCGAGGCGAGCTGCCATTTCCAAATTCAGCTTATAAGAACAAATGAACTACTGACGACATTTCTCAAAAAGCTAAAGGATAAACTAGCTGCAGCTTTAATAACATCAGTTAAACCAGTGAACTAAACACTAATTAAACTCCAGAATACATTACAGCTCCATTTCCACCGAAGCAAATTATTCACAAGTAGGTTTTTTGGATAAATATTCCTTTGCAAACAGTTTCTTGTCATTAAAGTTCCCCCAAGCTAATTGAAATGATATGAACAACAAAAGGCAAAGTAATTAAATATTATAAGGACTTGCTAATCCTGAAAATCCTCCATAACCAAATATCAAAATTCTTCCCATGTGAGTTGTATGATAGGAAAATCTGAAACAAATTTGAATCCCACATACATGTGTAAGCATTTAAGTGGCATACATGTAAGATCTCTTGAATATTCACATCTATACATCAATTTTTACATTTATTCCACACATTTATGCCACAAAAATCTTTCATGTGTATATACCGTCCAAATCTTTCATATTGCAAAAGAAATAATACCATTTCATGCATAGGGTAGAGGGTGGCACATATATTAAAATTAAAGTTTGGGTATTAGGAATGTAAATAGGTATTAGAAATGTAAATATATAAGAATTGGGTGGTGGGTACGTAAATAAAAAAGCATTTATGTTACTCATTGAAAGACTGTTGACCTCATTTTTAGTGAGGTCTAGACTTTCTCTTGGGGTTTAGGATCTAGCCTTAGGGATCTCCCTTTGACTATCTTAGAACCTTAGAAATGGGACCCGCCTCATTTTAGAAATTCAACCTACTTTTGTACTCTTTTGTGGTTTCGCTTGTGTGGTATCAACTTCTAGCGCTTAGAATGATGAAACCAACATGAGGAAACCCAAAAGGGATTCCTATAGGACCTTTTAAGCCTTGGGGTGACCTTTTGCACAATTTACACCGTTGCGCGCACAAAATTCGTGATTTGTTCAGTCGACATGTTCGATCACCACAATTCACATCGTTTGCACCGTTATTCGTCGAAAAACTTACATGAATTTTTGAAACGATCGATCACGGGTCGAAACTTCGTGAAATTTGAATTTTGACGCGTTTTTGACTCGATTGTCGACGACGTCGTCCGAGCAACCCGGGATGACAAAACGGACTGCACCGGCGCGTCCGGAAAGTTGATTTTGCCTAGGGAGGACACCCACTTTGTTACGACATCGCGCGTGAATAAATCGCATATGATTTAGTGTATATATATATATATTAATTTATATAAAACCAAATCCTTCTTTTCCTCCTTAAGCCCTAAATCCCTAAACTCACGCACCTGAGCTCTGCCTCCCTTCTCTCTACCGTTCGCGGTCTCGAGCCAACCGAGCACTGCATCCTTTCCCTTTCTCGGTCTCGAGCCAACCGAACTCCTCCACGCGAGAGAGAGTTGACTTCTCATTCGTCCTTGCCCGACACTTTTTGCCTGCGACCCTCCTTCCCGAAGCCGTGCCAGTCTCCCCAGGCTATGGTTTTTCTTTTTCTTGGTTGTTTGACTTCGGGAAGTCCCTCCTTCCCGAAGCCGTGCCAGTCTCCCCAAGCTATGGTTTTTCTTTTTCTTGGTTGTTTGACTTTAGGAAGTTGCGCCGCTTGGTCCTAGATGTTTCGGTTGCTTCGCCTTCTGTGAGCAGGGAATGCGTCCTTTTCTTCTTTGACCCGATTAGATTACTGTGTGTGGATGGGGAGCAGGGAATGCGTCCTTTTCTTCTTTGGCCCGATTAGATTACTGTGTGTGGATGGGGTGATCTTCTTTCTCTTCTCCTCTCTTCTTTGCCTAAAAACATAGTTTTCTTTTGGGGTTTTGGGGGTTGTTGAAAAAGTTTGCTAAAGAAGAGAGGAGTAGAGATTTTGGCTGTGAGAGAAGTTTGAGAAGGAGATTTCTGTGAGAGCATTTCCTTGAGGTGGTTTCTTGAGTTGCGATGCTTTACATTTGCATTAAGGAGGTACCCCTTCTTCCCCCCCTTTGTTTTTTTTTCTTCTTTGGTGCCTTGCTGCCTTGCGGTTTTCTCTTTGTCGAGCCTCTCTTGCTCGGTTCAGTGGATAACACAGTATGCTTATATGATATTACACTTATATTTTCTTTGAAATACTTGGCACTCAAGCATTTAGAAATGGAAATGTGAGCATGTGTTAGGAATTAGACTTGGGCATTTGCTTAAAGTGGTGGATATATGACATGTTTTCTGTTTCATATCATATTTATGTTGGCAGCAATTTGGATAATTAAAGCATGACTTTGGAATAATTTCTACTCCTCTTGCAAGCATGTTGGGATGTGTATTGTGAAACTTTTCATTTATCTTTCGTTTAGCATGAGATATTGAATAATTTATTTGGTTTTTCATGCATGCTAGGGGGTTTCGGCTTTCGCATCTTAAGACTTGCTCTTGCTTAAAATGAATGCTAGAGAGTTCACTTTAGAGAGTTCACTTTACCACTTTACTTTTTATACATATATGGGGGCTCGGTTTAGCTCCTGTGGCTTTCCCTTACTTGAAGTGTATGCTATGAGAAAATTTATTTAATTTGGAAAGCTCTGAAGCTTGTCTTGAGGGCTTCGTTTAGCTCCTCGTGAGGCATCT